GTGGGAGCCTAGGCAGTTTGGATGCTCACCTTACTAGACCTGGATGGAGGTGGGTGGTCCTTGGACTTCCCACAGGGCAGGGAACCCTGATTGCTCTTTGGGCTGACAAGGGAGGGGGACTTGATTGTGGGAGGGGGGGAATGGGAAGCGGCGGTGGGGAAGAGACAGAAATCTTTAATAAATAAATATACAAAGAAAAAAAATAAAAGTTACCAAGCCACGTGGCTAAATATTGACAAATAGAAATGCGTTAACTTAAGCCAGAGCTAGCTAGAAACACAACTGCACCTTCCACTGAACAATGTTGCACTTAATATATCTTCTGTGGGATTATTTGGGTCTAGGTGGCCGGGAAATGAAAGCACAGTCTGTCTACAACCATGAACATGTATGGGCACTCTTAATTATCCAATAAATACAACTATTTGTGTAGCTTTTTTACTTAACTAGACATTGTAAGTCATCAAAAGATACTTAAATAGAGACACTAAGATATAGATTAGAGGCTTCGAAATCACCTAAAATAAACTGCCATTTTAGCAAGAGACTTAAGCATGTTCAAATTTTGGGTGCCTATGTAGAATGCTGAAACCAATGCCCAAAGACACTGGGAAAGACAGCTAAACTTGAGAAAACTTGAGAAGATTCAGATTCTCATCCACTAAACAAGAGCACTGTATGTGAGAGCTATGTATAAAAATCACAAGTCCTTAATGCTTCTACTGTGTTTCTCTCATAAATATGAAAAATAGAAGACAGGAGGAATTAGAAACAATAAATAAAAACCAAAGGAAAAAACTAAATAAATCCATAACTCTATTATATACTAAGCTGTCCAAATTTAAGGATTAGTATCTTTAGTTTCACTGCCTTATACTTGGCACTGTGACTTCACACAATTTAGAAACTCAATAGGTGCACACACTCTCCTGTAAAACATCATCAAATGTGAGTGCAAGGACACTAGATTATAGGTTAAGACACGGCCTCAGTGAGGAAAGTAAAAGGAGGAAACATGTGGTTAATTTGACAAGTATTTTTAGAGGTGATCTTATGATTCTTAGAGGTGATCTTATGAAAAGTTGGTAGAGTGAAGAAAATAAAGGATGACAGGAAGAGTACAGCTTCAGTCACCGAGAAGTAGTAAAGATCTTTACTATAAACCAACAATGTAGATAAATAAAGCAAGGGGGTGGTTTGAAAAGAATTTTTGAAGACAATCTGTTGTCGTTGATAAACACATTGTACCCAGAAAGACACATTGGAGAAACACTTGAGAAAGTATATCCTAAACTCAGGAAAGAGCTCAGAGTTAAAAATACTGGAATCAGAAGCAAATCGACCCTATAATCAAATAAGTTAAGTGATAAGACAACACTAAAAATTAGTCTAAGAAAGTAATTGCTAGGAATTGCATACTTTAAAATGAATCAGAAAATGTATGAACAATGTTGGCAATTTAATTGTTAAGCAGTAGTATTTGATTTTGAGTCTTTTATCTAGATAAATTCAACTGGAGAGTCTCGGTGAAAGCTATGAAGAAACCGGGAACTTGGGGCAAAGAAGAAAATGGAGAGTGGGTAAATCAGGAGTAGAAACTGTCATCACTCAGTGAAAGAGAAGGGATTGCCAGGATGACCGTGTACACTTAAAAGGAAGTTATTCTCTCTTTACTTGTAAAAAATATTTGGAGGCTAATAGAGGAAGTATATTAGTTTAGAAGGAAAAAAATAGTTAACACTGCATCTTCAAGCAATTTCTTACCCTCTTCAGATCCCATTCCCTACCTGTAAAGCTAAGACTCTGAACCAGACTCACCCTTACTATTCTAAAACTGACAGAGCAAAGCCATGATCTCAGAAAATTCCAAGATGGAATCTCTACCACACCTATGGTAAGTTGATCTGTGTGGTCCTCAATGTAGCGCTGGTTTATAATTCTGATGTACACTTCCTGTATCTGAGAAAAATAGTAGTAACTATGTATATCACTGGGGCTGAGCCTGCAAAAACAAAATGATCACTCTGCTTTTATCTCACAGATCGTCAAACAAATAAGTGTAATAAATAATATAAGTGAACTTAAGAACAGAAATCACATACTTATTTTAACAAATGCACAAAAGGACTTTTGACAAAATCCAACATCATTTCACAATAAAAGTCATAGAGAGGATAGCTTCAGAGAAACCATACCACAACAAAATAAACGTGATAAAGTTTACCATAGTTGATGCAGTCCATTTAAATAAGGAACAGAAAGGGACTTTATTCTCACTGCTGCCCTCCTGTTCAATAGAGTGTGAAAAGTCTTAGTTCAAGCAAATGATTGCAAAGAATTTTAAAAGGATACAAGTAGGAAACTAAGTCCTGCTCTACGTCTGCCAATAATTTGTTTCTGTAAATAAAATATGAGATGAGTTCACCAAAAACTTCATGAAGTCCTTAAATTTTCAGCAAAGTAGCTGGATGAAAAATTAAAACAAAAATTAGTAGCCATTCTACATACCAAGACGAAACATATTAAATGAGAAACTGGGGAACTGCTCTCATTCATAATAGAAAAACAATATGAAACAAATGAACATACACAAAGTAAAAGCACAAGAAACATATATAGATGCA